GTTCGCAAAGCAAAGGTTGAAATCCACGTACTCATTTAAAAAAAATCTTCCATACGCAAATTTTCCATATCTTCATGCGACGCAACGCAACGCAAGCCGAGGAGGGTACGGGCAGGGTATACATGATCCGTATCGATCCGCCTTCGCCTCGCTTGCTGCCATTGCCAAAGTGTCAAGTGCCAAGGGCACAGGCGACTGCGATACGTACAGCACTACTCCTATATATTATATACATATACACAGTATAAATTAGTATTGAATAGTTGAAGCAAGCTTGAGAGATTTTACATGCATGTGGAGTGCATGCAAGTCCCACGTGGATCGCGTATGCTGTTGCGCTGCGCCTTCTTCTCACGACGGCATGCATATGACCGGGCTCTAGCTGTACAAGCCTGTATTAGCATTGCTTGTTCCCAGGAGCTGGGAGCCTGCGGCTGGGACCACGGTCGCCTCAAACAGTGTGTTCGTTACCTACCTCTACCTTGGGCTAGGAGTATTCTACGATGTCCGTGCACCGTGCTTGTGTTCGGTCGTCTTTGTCTTTGCACCCGTGTACCCTATGCACTCCAAGCTAAACCACCATCTAGAAGCTCGAGTTTCCTTTACGGAAAAAAAAAATTGGGTGGACCAGGGGAGCACCTGCCACGTGGACCCAGACGCCATCGCATGGCACCTGTAGACAACGCTTGGTCCTTGCACCGCACGCGGATTTGGAGCCCGGTCATCGCGCTGGTTTGCATGGTGTTTGCCGATTTGGAGTAGCTTCTGCTGCCGCACGATGGCGTCTGGGTCCACGTGGCAACCATCAGGCAGGGGGCACATGTGCGCGCCGGTGCTCCCATCGCCCACCCAATTTTTTCTCGAGTTTACTAGGCTTTACATATGGCATAAGTCCTAGAGACATATTGACGGCAAAAGGACTATTTATTATTGACCTATTTTTGTTCCCATTGCCCTCCCAAAATAATAACCGGTTACTAGAACGGTGGAGTGGTTCTTTCTTAGTCGCAAATTTGAGTCTGTAATAGCATCCAGTGAGTAAACTTTAAGCGGCAACAGGTAGGTAATCATTATTAACATCCTGGTTGCTAAGCTCATGTTCTGTAATGTTTTTTTCCGACTCCATCTTAATAAAAAAACATGCTAAGGCACGGTCGCGAAAAAAATAATAACTGACTTTTGTTGCCTCCTCTAACTTTTAAAAGAGTAGACCAAATTTGCTCCTTGCATTCGATGGTTTTAAAAGTAGTTTTAGCCGATGTGGCCTCTCGTCAGCCGTCCTACATAACACTACATCCAGTTACGAAATATTGTGAAATCAGCTCTCTTCCATCTCAAGATCTATGGCCAAACACGTCATTATGTGTGTGCGTTTCGTATTGTAAGTGTGCATGCGTGTAAACTACCCATTTGTTGTTACTGAAGTCAGTTCAACTTCTATGTGGCCTGAGTTAACCTAGACTAATTATAATAGATAACGTGAGCATCTGCTAACAAATAAACACCAAAAGAAGACTATAAAAGTTTCAAAAGATTCTAAACAAGGTACCATAATATAGAGCATTATTTTTGAGAAAAATATGAATCTGGTTTCATATTTTTTTTTGAGTTAAAACAACTTTTTCAATGGATGTTCTAAGATTGAATCAAATTTAGGGTTTTTAATCAAGTTTTTTAAAATTATTTCTAGAATTTTTATAAAGTCTAATTGACCTCTAAACTATCGATGTAGTCCAATTTACCACTCTCGTTTTTGACATGGTACTACATCAGCCAAAATCATTTTTAAAACCACCCAAAGGAGCAAATTCAAATGGTTTCAAATGTTAGAGGAAATAAAAAAACGGTTTTTAGTTATTGGAAAAGGTAAATCAGACTTGAGCAAAAGTTGGAAAAGGTCAAATCAACTTTTTTTCCCCTTTTGTGAGTAGAACCTATCCACCTGGGCCCAGAACCAGGGGCTTGCTATCAATATAGGAAAAAAGCCCCTTACCCGTAAGCTTCTTTGGAGAAGATAATGGGTCCACAATCATGGGCCAGTATTTGGCCTCGGACCTTGTCAGCCCAATAGCAATACACACCACGGTGGCATCCATTTCTACCCATTCCACTTCCACTCGTGTGGTTTGCTCGCTGGCCTGCCCAGAAGAACTCAGCCCTTGTTTAGTTGTAAGAATTTGGATTTTGGGGCTACTATAGTACGTTCATTTTTATTTGGTAAATAGTGTTCAAATATGGACTAATTAGGCTTAAAACGTTCGTCTCGTAATTTCCCACCAAACTGTGTAATTAGTTTATCTTTTCGTCTACATTTAATGCTCAATGCATGGGCCGCAAACATTCGATGTGACAGGTACTGTAGCAACTTTTTGGAAGTTGGGGTGGAACTAAACACGCTGTCATTTGTGCACGCATCTCGTATACCAAATACGATCCCTCCTGCAGCCACGTCATCCGTTTCCCCTGGCCGCACGATGCCGCGCCTCCTCAATCCATCGCGTGCCGCCATTCCCAGCACACCTCCGACCCACACGTAAAAGCGACCTGCCTCTGCCGCATCCCACGCAAAAAAAAAGAGCGAGGAAAGAAAAGGAAAAGAAGACCCGTCTCGAAGCTTCCGGCGGCCGGCTTCACCGACGCTGCCGTGCCGTCCACGGCCGCCCCGGCGCCGCGCCAGCCTGCCCTCCGCATCGTGCCCGCCGTCCCGGTCCTCTCCGCTATCCCGGTCCGCTCGATCTACGGCGCAGTCCTCTCCACCGCCCGGCCTGCCCTCCACGCAGCGGCCTCGCGGCCACACCGGCCGGTCCTCCGCACAACCCCACAGCACCCACGCACTCGCCTCAGCCCTCTCTCTCGCACTGCAGCTGCACCAGTGACGTCCGCCTGGAGCCTCACCAGGAGACTCCCTCGCGCCGCGCCTCACCCTCACGCAACAGGCAGCAGCAACGCCTGCGCCTACGACCCTCTCCCTTGCACGGAAGCTGCACTGGCGCCGTCCTCCACGAGCCTCAACCGGAGGTATGCTCTGCCTACTCTATTTTTATTTCGTCAATTTTTGGAAACGATATGCATATGTGGACCCAATGTATATGAGTCTGTCTATTCAACAACCATGTGTTTTATGTAGTTTCAACACATAAATTTTTTTGCATCATAGAATTAAAATCCGACAACCTCCATCCTCCTTCTACCTCCCGCCTTCTTCTATCTCCAAACAATCACAAATCAAAAGATCACAGATCTACAGATCACAAGAAACAAATTTTTTTCTATGCAAGGACAAGAGGACAAATCGGTTTTTTTCCACTAAAACAGGAACAGGAAGCGGTGCTCCCGCTCCGATCTAGAACAGTACAAATCAATTTTTTACTGCCGCAGTGCTCCCGCTCCGATCATGAAGCGGTGCTACCGAAACAGGAAGCGGTGCTGCTGCAGTGATCCAGAACAGGAAGCGGCCGGTGGCCGACAGCGGCGCCGTGCGCAACACCTATGAAAAGAGAGGGGAAAATCCATGTGTTTTTTTCCACTAAAACGCATGTGTATTGTATAGCATTTCTGTATAGAAAACTTTGTTCTATAGTTTTTTTGAATAAAGTCTAATTGACTCGTGAACCATTGATGAAGTTTAATTTATCTCCTTCGTGGTTAACATAGTGTCATGTAGAACGATTAACACTACATCAGCCAAAACCGCCCAAGGAACAATTCAAGCACTTTTCAAAGTTAGAGGAGGCCAAGAAACAGTGTTTCAGTTAGGAGTGGTTAATGGAATTCACGAAATCGGAGAAGGTGAAATAAACTCTTTTTTTTAACCTTTCCTCGCAGCAGTTGTGGTGCGCCCCTCAACTGACCCCACGAAGGGTGGTCCCACTGGCCGCCGTGGAGGGCTGGGCCGGACCTGGACCTGCCCCCCTCGGCCTCGTTTAGTTCCGCCAAATTGGCGCCGGCAGGAATACTGTAGCGGCACTGTAGCTGCAGTCGTTTCGAATTCAAGCCTGTGGCCTGTGGGCCACCTGCGCCTCCGGCGGCGGCGTCAGCTAAGCTACGGAGTACTCAGCTTTTGCTATAAAAAAAAAACTAAGCTACTCAGCTTGACTAGACTGTAGACTCCTCATCAGTTATCTGAAAAAAGCAACTGGAAAAAAAAAACTTCACACTGTAATTCCAAGGACGAACAAATTCAGTTCCGTGCCTCTCAAGGTCGCAGCGGCGTTCCTCTTGCTACTCTCTCTCTTTTCTAATCTGGTCTGAAAATACACATATGTTATTACTCCATAATAAAGTCACATGTATTAATAATTAATTAATGCATATGAGACCAAAGTCACCATTTCATAGTAGAGTATTCTTTTTCAAGCTGTGTGTGTACCCCACTGACCGCTGTCTTTGACATTGTTGACTCAGAGTCCCAACCGAAAGCGACGCTTTCCCGAAAACACCCCTCCGGATCCGGCAAATTAGCCCCTCATATACCTCCGCCGCGCGCTCCCCCCATTCCCCTTGCTCTCTTCCTCCTCCCTCCTCGATCCCCTCCACGCCAGGGCCACGGACGGACCGCGCCGCTGCCGCCGCTTCCGCTTCCGCCGGCCGTTCTCCCGCGCGCGCGCATGTAGTTCTGGAGCGGGCGGATTCGTTCGGCGCGTTCTTGGCCCGCCGCCGCCTGTCGTTCCGGAGCCTCGCGCTGCGCCGTGTTGCCTCCTCCAGTTCAGGTGCGCAATCCGGTCCGTGCCCTTTCCCTGAGCCGAGGATTTGAATAATCCACCACCCTGAATCCTGATGGGCCGTTTCTTTCGTTCCTGTGCAGTTTCCTTCCAAGCCTTTTGAGATTCCCCGGAGATCTGCTTAATTCGTGCGGCTCTCTGGTTCCGATGCGCAGACGCTGCTGCCTTTGAGAGTTGCAAGGAGCCTGAGGTCCGTGCGAGGTGGAAGAGGAGCTCGTGGCTGGACGAAAGAACAATCCTTTCTTCGCCCACAGGGAGCTCGTTTGCTTCCAGCCAGCCATGGAGGAGGTGGAGGTGGCCAACAGGGCCGCGGTAGAGAGCTGCCACCGGGTGCTGGCCTTGCTCTCGCAGCAGCAGGACCCGGCCCTGCTCAAGAGCATAGCGTCAGAGACGGCCGAAGCCTGCGCCAAGTTCAGGAAAGTTGCCACCCTCCTCGGCGGTGGCGGTGGCAGTGGCAGTGGCGGCGGCCATGCTAGAGGCAGGTTCTCCAGACGAGTCCGGCCTATGGGGCTCGTCAACCAGAAGAGCCCCTTGGGGACCGGCGGCGGCAACCCGCTGGAGATGATGCCCAGCACAGCTGCTGCTGCGGCGGCGGCTCCGTCTCCATCTCCGTCCACTAGCTATGCGCAAATGCGCGCTCGGCTTAACGGTGTGCCAGACTCGCGAGGGCTGGATTTGGTGGCCTGCTCCAGCAGCAAGAGTGTCGGCCCTCATTCATTCGGAGCCCCCAAGCTGGTGCAGCCGCTGTCTGTGCAGTTCCAGATTGGGAATGTTGCGCATCGGTACCCGTTCCACCAGCAGCCCCCGTCGCGGCAGAAGCTGCAGGCCGAGATGTTCAAGAGGAGCAACAGCGGGATCAGCCTCAAGTTCGAGAGCCCTAGCCCCAGTGGTGGCGCTGCGGGCACGATGTCGTCCGCGAGATCATTCATGTCGTCCTTGAGCATGGATGGGAGCGTGGCTAGCTTGGAGGGGAAGCGGCCGTTCCATTTGGTAGGCACCCCGGTGGCGAGCGACCCGGCAGATGCCCACTGTGCGCCCAAACGGCGGTGCACGGGTAGAGGGGAGAATGGAAAAGGCAAGTGTGCCACTACCGGCAGGTGCCATTGCTCAAAGAGAAGGTAAGTTGTGTTCTCGTAGCCATTCTTATGCTTGTTGTTATGTCTTGTTGGGTGCAATATTGACTCCCTTGAATCGTGCTTGCTCTGTTTGACAGGAAACTGCGGATTAAGAGGTCGATTAAAGTGCCAGCCATTAGCAACAAAATTGCTGATATACCTCCTGATGAGTACTCGTGGCGGAAGTACGGGCAGAAGCCAATTAAGGGTTCCCCCCACCCGAGGTATGATATGAACTGAACAAGAAATATTCAACGAACATGAAAATGTGTATCAAATCCTTTTCAGCCATAATGATTATGATTGATGCATTATTCCCCTTGTTGCACCATGAGAGGTGGCATATCTGCATCAGGCTCTCAGGGTGCCCCTTTATCTATTGAATAATTGTTGGTTGATCCTCCTCTCCACTTTACCTTTTCCTTCCTCCCAAGTGCTTCTACAACTAGGCATGTCGATAACATAGTAGCTACCACAATTAAATATTTAGTTAGTGGATAATCTCAGGGGTTCAACTCTTTTTGTGCCCATTTACTGAGAAAGCAATGATCTATCATGGGGGACCTAAAGTAGGTAAATTATTTTTGCTACATGCATTTGAATGCCATGTTAGGCTATCTACATCCTAATCTTGATTGTGCTCATTCCCTACCCCATATCAAGCTTTAATGTCTGCCCTCGATGATAGGAAAATGTAGCTATACCATGAAGGCAAGCACATGGGGCTGATTGTTCCCCCCATTTCACATATTCTGATGTTCTCTTTGACTTCAATCCAATGCAGGGGTTACTACAAATGCAGCAGCGTCAGGGGCTGCCCGGCAAGGAAGCACGTTGAGCGATGCGTAGACGACCCAGCGATGCTAATCGTGACATACGAAGGCGAGCACAATCATAACCAGTTGCCAGCACAACCTGCCCAGACCTAGAAGATCAGTAAACTGTCGCTCCATTCAGGAAGCGCCGGGGCCAGGCCTTTTCTGAAGGATGACCTGGTCATGTTAGAATCCCAGGCCTTTGATTTTCGAATGCAGCAGCGATGAACATGGAGCCATTTGAGAATCTGATGAGCTTCTTGGCCCCTCCTTGAGCTACACGCTGTTACAGATGCTATAGTGGGGACTGCTGCCAAGTTGTTCATCTTTCTTGTGAGCTGTGGCATGTAGTATAATTGAAAGATGGTGCAGGAAGGAAAATGCGGCGTCCAATAGCGACCGGTGAGCTTTGCCGGTGAGTCTGAAGGGTTGAAAGCAAAGATTGACAAAAGGAAGTGAACAACCGCGCATTGTTGTAAAAGGGTGGATTAGGATGGCAGGGTTGGCTTTTAGCGTGCACAAGTTCACTTGCCATGACTTGCCTGTGTAGCTTTTGCTTTTCTGAAATATTACATCACCTCTTTTGTTGACACAAGAGGTTGGATTAGGAGGTCCGTACTGACCGCTGCAGGTTTAGGACCATTTGGGTTTTCCAGGTGTAAGCATTCCAGAAGGAAAGGTGCAAAGCTGTTGTTGGTGTGATTTGCCACCCCAGTACTGTTGCTCTTGTGTAAAGCATTCTGTGTTAATGATTTCCCCATCAATCTGTACCACTCTGCAATCTTGAGAGGTAATCTAGAAGATGAATGAATGCTCTAACTAAAACTTTGTATGGAGTTTTTTTGTATTTATTTGGAAGAAGCTGTCATCATGGTCATATTTTTGTCAAGAAATTTCAGGAGGGCCTATGAGAACAAAAGTAGGCAGGAAATAGTTTATTAGCATTTCCAGTCTCATGTTTGTTCTTCTTAACTTTCAATGCTTCTAACAAGAGGTTGACAATTGAACACGTTAGCTGATGCTTACTGGCAGTTGCAACAAATCAGCATAAGCAAGCATCAGCCAAATTTCAGCGAAACGATGCTTATGCTGATTTGGTGTGAGAAGAAAATATTGTTCGTTCGCTGAGAAAGTACTTCTAGCGAACAGGCTAGCATTATTGGACTTCAAGCGAACAGGCGTCACCAACCGACGATTTATTGCTTGGTCAACCACACTTGAAGTTCTTGGCTTATCCATACAGATACAGACCCCCCTAATCTAGGGAGATCTAACAATTTCGTACAGGGAATTTAAGGTGGGTGATCTTGGTGCAAGATTATGTCTCATGAACTGCAATTAAAGTGACAGAGGTCAAGGATGGGATTTAGCTTCAAGCAATGGCCCAGCATTGTACACTACTGTCTGACGTCCAAGCAAGGACATGACATAATTGGGAGCTACTTCGTCGCAAAAAAAAAGGGAAGCTACTTTATTTTCCCTTATTATTATGTTATATTTTTTTAAAAAAAAACTTTTCTATCTGCCAGGTGCGAGTTAATTTTCAGGCAAATCATTTTGAAATTCCTATGTTCCAAAAAATGCGCTTAATGTTTTACAAAATACATCTGCTTCTGCCTCTTCTTTTTTTTTAAAAAAAAAGTGCCTTGATTTCTTTCTTTATCAAGGCTCTCATTATTGAGCGACAGAACAGGCTAACTTGCCATCTGTCGGTTGTCACTATTATCTTGCTAAGAATGATTAATACACTGATAAGCTAAAAGGGAAACAAAATCGATTGGAACATCCTAGCAGCATGCACAGCAGGCCAGGGGAGGGGAGAGAGGGTTTGGAACGTTGGATACATCGACAGCTGCTTATGTCTGACCAAACATTTGATATATTTAGCATAAAGTCTTTCTTTTACACCTATGTGTCTGTACTTTCATCACATAATTTTTTCAGCGAACATAATGGTTAACGGTTGGCCTATTTTGCTGTGACATTTGAACAAATAATTAATATAAACAATAAACAAGTACCTAGGACCAACTCTAATTTGTATTGATCAACTTAATTATGAACGACGGATTTGAGTGAGTTTTTAGCTTCCTTACATACCATATACTCTTTGTCCTAAAATGATAAGCGTATTTTGATTAGGTAAAAGTCAAGCAAAATCTATTTTGACTCTTAATTCTCTTATATAGTATGTTTTTTTTATAAAAAAAGACCAATATCATCTCACAGACACTTTGAATACAAATCGAGTGGTGCAAGTTTTGTCATAAAATAGTACAAAATTTGAATAGTTCTTCAACAAAGTTTGTAAAAGTTGACTTTTTTCCTATATAAAATATGTTTATCATCCCGAGATAGAGGAAGTACTACCTCTCCCTAAAAGATGCAACTATGGGTTACGTGCTAGTTAAAGTACTTCACATTTAACCAAGTTTCTAGTAAATAATATTCACGTTATGGCTCCAAATTAATTTATTATGAAACTACAGTTCGTAATTAATCTAATGATATTTGTTTTATATTATAAATATTTATACTTTTTATTTATAATTGGTCAAACTTGATATATTAAAACATGATACTGTTATAGAATTGCATTCTTTTGGAGACGGAGGGAGTACATGTTTATATGTAATGATATACTCCGGTCGTTCTAGAAAGAATAAAATTCAAATTCTAGAGGATTCGAAGGTCCCAAAAATAATCAGCCTGCTGGGTAGAGCTGGCTGCGGGCTAGAATGCAACTGCCACTGTCGAACACAATGCAACAACAGCTGCTCGCCAAACGGTCTAGTTGCAGTTGCAACACAGCTGCAACCGCCACAACCGATTGGACCCAATGCAACTCTAGCTTAGGATTAGCTTGCGGGTCCCAAACTCTATGTATGGTATCCCACGAAGAAGTGTGTCATGTAATTGCTTGATGGTATAAAATATATAGTTTTGTGGATGTAATGATCAGTTACCTTAGTCTAACCAACACATGGGAAGGATAAAAATCAGGGGCAGATCTAGTTGTGTTTGTCGGGATCCGTCGACCCAGATGAAATTTGTAAATTTTTAGTAAAATGTTGTTGGAACTCCAAAAAATTTATGTCATGTAATGAAGTACCTCGATGTCCTCGATTATATTCACCCATGACCAAAAAAAAAGTATAGGTTCCATGCGTTTATTTACTTGTTTATATAATTTTCTCTTAGAAATATGAGAATCTTTTATATTCTTTTATAGTTATAGGACTGAGACCTTGTTTAGTTTATTCCCTACAGTTTACTCCCTATCCCATCGAATATTTGACACATGTATGGAGTATTAAATATAGACTAAAAAATTAATTAATTGCACAGTTTGCGACTAATTTACGAGACGAATCTTTTAAGCCTAATTAGTTTATGATTTGACAATATGGTGCTACAGTACACATGTGCTAATGACGGATTAATTAGGCTTAATAAATTCGTCTCGCAGGTTACTAACGGATTCTGTAATTTGTTTTTTTTTATTAGTATGCGAACACCTCACGTGACACCCGATGCGACATCCCAAAACTTTTTGCACTAGATTTAAACAAGGCTTGAGTGGGGAAGCAGCTAAGGCTAATTCGATTTTATCATATTCAAACCGGTTCTTGCAAGAAATAGGTGTGCCTTGTGGGGCGTTGCATGCCTCTACTTAAGCGAGCAGTGGCCATTGATTAAAAAAAAGTAAATAATTGTTGTCCTTAGCAGTCCTATCTTATAGTGCTTTGGGTCTAAGTTTTCCAATAACGTGCCGCCAAAGTCTGTGAGCTTGGGGCCCACAGTCCACTGAAAGGAAGTCAATTGGGGTCGGTAGCAGTTCCGCACAAGTCAAGCCTTGCGTGCAAACTTGTAGAAAATCCAGATGAAAAATGACTCGAATCCGTCTTACGCGTTGATAGCCGCACTTCAAGTATATAACGCCTTTGAATTGAAAGGCTAGATCAGCACTCTGATGTATTGTAGCACCCAATAATCTCCAAACCGAGCACGCTAGCACCGTGCGCTAATAGGTTCCATCACGTGAATTCCACGACTGATTTATAGGCTAGTCTAGCTATAGCCACGTGAGAGATCAGAAATCAGGGGATGTTCGGCTGGAGGAATTCTGGAAGAATTTAGATAGTTTGGAGAAATGCTGGAAGAATTTATGAGAGAAAAATACTGTTGCGAATGAAAAAAGAAGCGGATCAAGCCGGGTCTAAGGGCACGCGAACGGAGTCAGAATGTCTTCATCTGGCGTCGAGTGTTTTTTAAGGGGATCTGGCGTTAGATTTTTACGACGAGTAATAAATAAACAAATAAGTAAAACATCTTTGTAGAGCTCAAATTTCTCCGGACCAAATGATGAAATGGTTTGCAACAGGGTATTGAATCTTAACCTCCCAGAGCATCTCCTAGAGTTTCTTAAAAAATACTCTACTTGTTTAATCATCCGTGTTATTCCAAGTAGTCAAAATAAGTAAGAAAATTTTTGTTGTGTTTCTCCAACATTAAAAAAATATGAGAGCGCCAAACTTTTGGAGGCCCGTTATTTTGTTTTATCTTGGGTAGCTCATTACCCAGCTATTATTAGTTCCGCATCTCATCACCATCTTTTTTTTCCTCTTTTCATTACACGTTCTCGAACATAAAAGAGCTAATGAGGACCTGTGACACAAGTGGCAGGCAACATGACACCACTAGCAAAATAAGCTAGCAAGTTTTTTTTCAATCCCCGCACAGCTAGGGAGAAAAAATGACATTGGAGTTCTTAATATTTTTTTTTCTCTTGAATATGAAAATACTAGGTTAATGATAAATTCAGCAACCATAGAGCAAAGAGAGTATTAAGAGAAGAATCGGCAATGGCGTCAGAAAGCAGCTTACAACACCAAAAGTAAGTTCACAAGTCCTAACGAGCTTGAGTTCTCAGCAGATGAACAGACTAGCAACAAACCCAGAACATAACCCTCCTTCCCTAAGTCTGAAGCAAGCTCTTGCTCCGGATTAGTATCCATAGCTCGGCGGGTATGGTGCAGCGCCATAGCTTCCACCATTGTGAGGCGCTGGAGCTGGGGCACCGGGAGGAGACCCATATGATGCTCCACCGTACGGTGGATACGAGCTGTAACCCGTGTCCACTGGTTGAGCAGGTGGAGCTGGTGGTCCCTGGGGAGAAGCTTCAGCCATGAAATTCTGCAAGAGGATAGATATCACTGCTCAGTTAATGGAAAACAAAAGTGTGCAGTGGACAGAGAACATACCAATCAAATGAAAAGGTCATCTATGCTAAGTATTCCCAGTATAAGGGCAGCATGGGTAACTCCCAACGTTGGCGACCAGTGACGTGATGGCAGATTAAGCCAGTGACATGTGAAGATTATTGACCTAGGTAAATGACAAGCATCTACGCTGGTTAAAGTAACAAGATATGATGCCAGGTCTTTTCACAATGCACTATATGTAACATCTGGTACATATGGTCCTATTCATGCGATAGTTGTGTATCCCCCAAGCATTGTACCAATCCAGGAAGCATCCAATTAGAGGCAGAGTATACTTGGTTGGAGAGGTGGCATCGATTTAGTGAAGTGCAACAATATCAGAAGGTCGGAAATGGATTGTAGCAATATCATATGTGTTAACCAAATTGCTGATGCAGTTTAATAAGGAGGAAAAGTACCTTGATTAGCTGTTGAGCAGTCTGTACTTGTGAAGCACTTCCTGTTATCTCCACTGTCATCTCCCCAGGAGCACCTTCTTGAATACTTATAGTTGCTCCACTATGTCTGCGGATGTAGCTGATACTGGCACCAGCTGATCCTATCACAGCATCAGCATAGGAAAGAGGAACTTGCATGCTGTGTGTCACCTGTCATATAAAATCACAAAAAAAAAGTTAAGTACAAATGATCATGAGATAGGCATGCGAATAATTCATCATATTAATAACAGTCAAATGTGTAGAAACTAACCTGAGAAGACCCATGTGATTGGTTTTGATTCCCTGGGGGAGCACTCAGAGGTGCATCGCGTCCATATGAAGAAATTCCATAGTGTGGTTGCTTTTCTACAGGGGGCACATCAGGAGGAGGATAATAGCTCTCTTGTGGCCGTGGAGGTGGAGGCATGTACTGTGGGTTCCCACCATAACCTGGGCCACCAGGAGGAAGGTTTGGTGGTGGATGACCCCAGGGTGAGGGCGGAGGGGGACCCCATGCCTGTGGAGGAGGCATAGGTTGCTCTCTGTGCACATTGTGCGCTTTCATCTGTCAAGGAAATTTATGTTTTATGATTACCAAATACTTCATGTAAGGTAACCAATATGCTGCATAGTAGAATAAAACTTGCCTGTGTTTCAAACAAAGGAAGGACACTGCGGTCAACAAGAAATTTTCTTAAATGACTTGCAATCAGTTCCACGGCTTTGTGAGCATCAAGAGGTTCACCCTGTATCTCTACAACTCTGTCATCGTTTAATGCAACAGGTGGAACATTCTCTGTGATGGAAAAATAGTATATTAGTGAAATGGCTGATGTACCATGCAAATATATGCAATGCGGGGCTTCCAGTGAAATTACTTGCAGAAATAAGGGTAGAAAGTACAAATGATCAAACATGATCCAGAAAGAATACTAAAAAATAAAAAGAAAAGATTAGATAGCCTAAAAAGCAAAGGGAGCAGCAAATGCTACAATTTTGGATGTGGTTAATTAAATCATACTCCACATAACATCTATCAGTTCAGAAGAGTGGAATTCTAAGGCTGACTTCTGTCACAGATACACATGCATGCACAAATGTAACAGATAAACTAAATCGGTCAATCTTGTCAAGTCTGCTTATCAAAGATCATAAAAAACATCAATATCTAGTAACTAAGTGCACAAATCAATATGTGCGAAAATATATTTCATGTGAAAGCAGACAGTACTCCTAGAACCAGTGTTCACCTAAACTAAACGGCCAGTAAACAGTAAACGGTGGTAAACTGTTTTGTTTAGGGGGTAAACGAAAATTAAACGGTCAAAAAACGGGGAAAACGGTCTAAACAGCCTAAACGGAACGGAGATAAACAGCATTAAACGGGCTAAACAGCTGTTTAAACGGCTGTTTAGGCGAACCCGAGGTAAATCTAGTTCAGTTTTGTATGGATAAATTTGTATACTTAAGTTTATTATATTTATAAATGTGTACACTTGATATGTTACATGCATAAATATCTATATTTGGTTCTTTTCACATGCATAAATATATATACATACCAAAATAATTGATTTTTACTCGGATAAATATGTATAAATGCTAGAATACTTGATTTTTTACATGCACATATATAATTATATGTTTTTTTAAGTACAAAACCATTTAGACCGTTTAACTTCGTTTAAACACCATGTAAACAGCCTAAACGCTAAACGAAGGGCGACCGTGTAAAGACCGTTTACCGTTTAGGAAAACATTGCCTAGAACAAATAACCCACACACATTTGCCATCTACGGATTGATCCTTGGCTATCAAAACCAATTTCAAAGAACTATAGAAATCTGTATTATCAGCAAGACTGCAAGGGTATGAGATCATAAAGCCTTGCCGTAACAAAGTCAACGCAGGAAAAAAGGTAAAACCTTACCAACAATCCGGAGAACGCACTTTGAAGCATCCTGTATTGATTTAATAGTTGCTCCTTGCTTCCCAATCAGGCTGCCAGCTTGGGAAGCCGGGACCAGCAGCCTTGTCGGCCCAGCGGTGACAGTAGCTCGTTGAGGCTGATCAGTTTCACCATCTAAACCATCTGTTATCCTTTTATGAACTCTAAGCAACCCATCAATAGCTGGAGGTAGCACTGTGTCTGGTTCATCCTTTGCTGAAATCATTACCTTCAAACAGGAAAGCAGTATCAAGATCTCAGCAAGTAGGAACAGAAGTATGTTAGACAGAGAAAGATTAGTTTATAGCAACATGCACAAAGACTTATGAAAGGAAATAATGGTATAAGGACAGTATTTCCATCCTGTGTAGATAGACAAAATGGTAATGGTTATGTTTATGCACATTTAGTTGGGTTTCAACTACAATTTCTCAGACAAACATACATATTTGCACGCAGTTACTCACCAAGATAACTGAGGCAATGCCCCAGGTTAAAGCAATAGACATGTCCTTAACTGCATCAATAGTTTTCCTTAACTACTGTACATGTGTCAAGACTGTTGCTTCTATGGGTATGTATAATGGAATTTCTGATACAGGCAATCTACTTTCAATTTGAATGTTTATTTTATTATATATATGCGATTCTTAATCCCCAAGAGCAAAAACAATAGATCTATTTAGTCAGTGTAACATATTGTTTGATGACATTAACAAACGATAATGGTACGTTACAATATTGGTTCAGCAAAACCAATTCCCCTAAAATATAAGAGGAAGCATCGAGTTGGGAACTATATATTCATATTCTTTGTTTGCAGTTCTCATGTCTTTATAAAAGTATCAGAGCATTAATTAGGAAATGATTAGGACCTAAAATTAAGGTTCTGTGCAGTATTTTAGTCTTCTGTTGTTAACTAACGGATGCCTTTTTGGTCAAAGCAACAGGTCATGGAATTACCCGACAATATATGCAGCTTCTTCACAGGGATCTTCATCCAATATTCAAAAGACTTAAATCACATGTGCAGCAGAGGAGCACAAGACTGTACTTTGGTAACCATGATTGTACGTCTATATTGGAATTTGGATACACAAACGACTCAACTTGAGGCCTTATACAGCAGTAAGAACCTGCAAAGATTAGTTTGTTATTTTTGACAAAACTATTATGTTCCGTGCTTGAGAGCCATTTTGCTGACAATCTATTCCTTTTTAGTTTGAGTGCCTTTATTTGTGCTACTTTTAGGGTTAGCATCAAGAATGTGTTAACAGGCCTCATAATATACAGTTAACCAAAGAACCATGTCATAGTATTTTATTTTAGTCCGCATTCACATAAATAACTACTGAGTTGGTCAAAATCAGTGTACCATTTGATAACTGATCCAATCTTCTTTAGAATGAAGGACATTCATGTATGCAATCATAACTATTTGATCCAGGTAGATATCGAACATTATTGATAATTCACTAGTGTACACAATACATATCTTTAGAATGATGTATAATTTGGCAAAGCTACTATTTCTGTCTTAGTCAATTATAGAGTCATACTTCTTACAGAAGAGAGATTCTTTTCCCTTTCATTTGGTTGCATCCAATAGTTTTGTGATCATTGTAAAAAATCCAAAATTATGCATAATTATTTCTACTGCAAAGTTTAAAACGGATTTCACTTATTATCTTGAAATCTATATTCATTTTTTCTCTATGGGCAGCTATTCACTGTTACTAGTATACAACTTTCAGTGTAGTAACTTGGATGATCAAATCTCATCTTAATATAAAATTGCACTGGAGTTAATATGAACATGAGTCCAATTATCAGGAGCAGTATATGCACCTGATCGCTAGGCTAAACTGTTTGAACTTCTAAATAAAATGTTTAGAAGAGCTTTCACTTCAGAAAGGAGGCTTTATTCAACAAGGCTGCAGATGTATGTCAAATTACATTGTACAATACAAAATTTCAATTGATAGGCTGCAGATGTGTGTCAAATTACAATGTACAATACAAAATTTCAATTACTAGTTCCTGTTCATTTCTACAACTTGCAGCAAGTTTTCCATGTGGCTTTCACGACTAAATAACAGTTACGTTGTTAAAGTAAACTCGAACTTCCAGATAATATACACACACTAACGATTAAACTATTTCAGATCGATAAATAACCATGTTCACAAAGCATCAATTGATAGAATGCATAGTATCAGTGGTCAGGGAAATATAATAGCAATTTATATGCTTGGAAACGTTTCCTAGCTGATTCAATCTTCAACACGTCTAAAAAGAAATTAATCACCAATATGCTACAAACTATATACATGTCTAATCTAGGTCTTTTAAAGTACAACTATAGCATACTTATCGGTGTAGGCAACAAGCGATCTTCGCACATGAATACTAACATGCCTAGAGGACTATTACTGGGCACACTGAACAAGAAATTATTTGTAATAGCAATGCAACCAGTTAAAGAAGAGAGTGAAAGACTTACCGCTCTTTCTGGCACAGCTGGTGGTCCCTCAAGAACCTTGATGCGAGCTCTGGATTCCTCACACATTTTCTTGATGAAATCCCCTTTGCGCCCAATGACGGCACCCACCTTTGTGGTAGGAACCAGTATACGGAACACACTCTCTCCAGGCCACCCAGGCCACTTCCTGTCATCAGGAACTGTAGCATCCTGCTGCTTCACCCCAGCTTCCTCACCGTGCTCTGTGGGGGTAGCTTGGTCCTCCTTGTTCTGACCTCCCACATCTTCATTGTTCATGTTCGCATGCTCTTCCTTGACTTGCACATAGAGATTTTCTGGTTCTTCCTTGGATTCCTCGTCATAGAGATTTTCTGGTTCTTCCTTGACTTGCACATCAGCATAAGTATTGGCTTCTTCCTCATTGCCAAGGGTACTAGGATTTCCGGTGAGGTTGTTCTCCACAGGGTCATCAACAGGTCCATCCATATTTCCTGGAAACAAATAAGCAACCAAGCTCAAGTTAATTATACAGATGCATAGTAGCTCTCAAATATGAGGTCTGCAGGAGTCGAACAAGGGGGGAAAACTAAGGCAGTGCAGGCACCGCACAAAACCAGCTGAACTAATAACCACACATACCCAAATTGATAGAGCTCGTCGCCCGCACACCACAAAACACATTCACCCCGCAGATCCACCTATCCCAATCACGGAACAGCACAAACCCGAACGCCTCGGCAACTAGCAGACGGGAAACAGCACAGACAGCAAACCCTAATCAGCAGCAGAGCAGTGAGCTCACACCACGAGACCCCAAACGGGCGCACACAAATCGATCCAAACGCCCAGACGCAGTCGCGTCCATCAAGCAGGCCAAACTATGCGGACGAGAGCACAAGGGTACTGCGCGCACACTCAAACCCTAGTTGCCCACCTCGGAGCTCTTCGCCGCTCGCTAGGGCTGCCGCGGGAGCACGCGACCGCGTACGGATGAAAAGGGGCGGGTTAGGAGGAAGAGTGAGCGCGAACCTTGTTAGTGGGGGGAGACCTTGCCGGAGAAGACGCCCGGCCGCCGCCGCCGCTGGAGGAGGAGGGGAGGGTTTTGAGACGGGAGAGCACGGGACTTGTCCGGATACGCGAGGGTGTGCTCGTGCGGCTCGGTTTTGATTTTAAGCCTTGCGTTTACTTGTCCTGTCCTGCCGTGCGTGCGGCCCATGGGCAGAGAATACTCGGGCTCTTCTTAGTTGGGGCTTGTTTAGATGTAAATTTTTTTTTTGCAAAATGAGTACCGTAGTGTTTTTGTTTTTTATTTGGTAAATAGTGTTCAATCATAGTCTAATTATGCTTAAAAGATTCGTCTCGTGGATTTTGTCTAAACTGTGTAATTAGTTTTATTTTTTATTTATATTTAATGCTTTCATGCATGTGTCTAAAGACTCGATGTGATAGGGAATGTGAAAAATTTTGCAAAATTTTTTGCAAACTAAACTGGACCTTGTTTCACTCCACAGGCAGCTATTGGGCCAAACGTTGAGACGTGGGTCCCACGGAACCGGATCCTGGAGGGGCCGAAGGAAGGATCCTCTGATTATTTGCACGAAGCCACAAACGAACACCTGCACACGCAGGCCGCAGGCGATCATCCGCAGAGCATCCGGGCTGGCCCGCGCCGCAGCTCCACTTGTGAATCTGTTTTTTTTAAATAAAGGAAAAAGTCCATTGCTACAGTTGTTTCTAGTCCTCTAACTCGAAAACCAGACACACGTAGTCTCTTAACTCTCAAAACCAGTTAAAATTGGCCCTCGCGTCCATTCGACCGCGGTTTTGGCCTAGTCAACCCGCCACGACCGCGGTTTCGGCCTAGTCTCCATGTCTGATGAGCCGGACCAGCGGGGTCCACACCACGCCCTGGTACTCCCACGCTGCCTCCTCGGCCGCCGCCTTGTACCGGCGGCGCTTGGTGTCCTTGCCCACCAGCTTTGCTAGCTTCGAGCCCCGGGCGTGCACGTAGATGTACCAGTACGCGTTCATGGCCATGACGTGCGATGCCACGGTGTCCGGGCACACCCCGCGCACCGCCTCGACATGCCGGTGCAGCGCCTCCCCCACGTTCGCCATCGCCTCGGCGAGCGGGGCGTGGTCACCCTCGCCCACGTCCTCGTCCTCGTCGCCGCGCTCCAGATCCACGCGCAGCGCGGTGTCCATGAGCGCACGGTAGTCGTCGGACGCGAGGCACTTGAGGGAGTTCACGGCGTACTGCACAATCTTGGGCACGTGCCCCGCGTCGGCGCCGGCGCCGGTGACGTAGAGCATCTCGATGCGGAGACCGAACTCCAAGAACACGCTGGACACGGCGCGCACCAGCTCGCGCTCCACCTCGCGCGTGCGCTCGCGGATAACGACCAGCGTGGCCGACTCGTTGGAGAAGAGCTTGTCCAGGCGCTCCCTCCCCGGGCCATCGCGTCGAGCATGTCGAGCTGCTTGGACTGACTCTGCGGCTCGCGCGCCGCGATGACCACGCCGTCCGCGAAGCGGAAGAATGCCGCGATGTTGCGGGCGGCGATCTTGGCGAAGCACTCGGGCCAGACCGATCGTGGTAGGGGCTCGAGCACGCGTGCGTAGAGCCGGCGCTCCGCGACGAGCACGGAGGCGATAGCCATGTGGAAATGCAGGCTCCATAGCGCCATGGCCAACTCCAGCGACTCCCACTCCATGGCGTCGATCTCCTCGGGGGTGTACGACTTGAGGTACGCCGGGTTGAGCCGCATCATCGCCTTGGTCGCTCTCCGTACCTCGTCTCGAGTGACGTCACCCACCGTTATTTTTCGATTACTCGATCGCAAATAGCATCGCAGCAGTCAGAGGTTAGAAAATGAATCACCGTGGACGTAGATGTCAAGGCAGATGTCAGCGATCGTTGCCGCCGAGCGGCCCCAGCCATCCTTGCGGCGGCCTCCACCTCGTCGTCGATGCCCAGCTCGTCACCGACGACCAGGTGCCTCCCCGGCAGCGGGCGACATCGTTATCCACGGCACCGGGTGTTTTGGCTCGAGGCGGCGCCTCGAAGAGCTCTCTTGAGGCCGAGGAGAGCATCGTCGAGTGGGCCCTCAAGCGCATCTCCTCGGCTTCCGTCTCAGACATCTGCATAGCCATGCGTGTGGTCCTCGGTCGGCTTTCCGGACATGGCCTCGGCGGCCGCCTTGGTCTCAAACCCTAGGAAACCGACCGCCTCCACCTCCGGACGGCCTCTTCGCGCGCCACCACTTCTCTCGGCGTCCATGGTGGGTCCACACGGTCGACGAACATGACCAAGACTCTCGGCGTCGCCCGGTTCGCGGGTGGCGCGGCCTCCTCGGAAGCGTGGACACACGGCGCTTAACGCCGCGAGGAGGGCTCGGCCGTGACGACGGCGGTCAATGGTCAATGCGGCGCTGGCCAACAAGGCTTTGCCGCCTGACTTTGGGGATCGGGGTGGTGGGAGGACGACGGCGAGGCGGCTGGGCGAGACCTCGTCGAGGCGGTCATCGATGGCGTCGATTTCAACATCAGCCTCGGCTACGGCTGAAAGCACCGAGACGATGGAAGCTTGTGATGTGGACCCGACTCGTCAGACATGGAGACTGGGCCGAAACCGCGATCGTGGCGGGTTGACTGGGCCGAAACCAGGGTCGAATGGGCGCGAGGGCCAATTTTAACTAGTTTTAAGAGTTAAGAGACCGCGCGTGTCTGGTTTTCGAGTTAGAGGGCTAGAAACAAACTATAGCTATAGTTGAAGTCTAAAAATAGACTTCTTCCTTAAATAAATAAAATAAATTAAAATAGGATTGCGCTCGTGATCGTGAGGAAGCAGCCACCGCCGCCGTGTCGTCTTCCTCGTCAGCACGCAGACGCAGCAGTCAGGTGACCACCACCAAACACTCCAACAGCATCAGTGGTAGTGCCGTCGCGTCGTCTCCCACTCCCACCTCCCCGCCCGCCGTTCAAATCTCCCTAGCCCCACGAAGTAGCCGCACACCCCCCCCATCGAACCCTGCAGAGCAGGAGCAGCCAGCCGAAAACGAAGCATGCCGTCGAAGCCGACCGCCGCCTCGCGCCTCGTCCTCCTCGCGTTCCTCCTCGGCATGAGCGCCGCCGCGGGCCACGATGACGCGGCGGCGCGGCGGACGATGGAGCAGTTCGCCGGCTTCCCGGCCTCCGACGACGGCGACGGCGGCCCTTCCAGCGACTTCCGCGTCGACTCCGAGGGCCTCCAGCGGCAGGTGCGTTCGTGATGTGCAGGCTATGGCTGTGAAGTGAGGTGTTGGTTTCAACGGCGTGTGCTTTTTTCGCAGATTGCTGAACTGGCCTCGTTCTCCGACTCTCCCGCGCCGTCCGTGACCCGCGTTCTGTACACCGACAAGGATGTGCAGGCTCGAAGGTAACGCAGTTGATATTATCCGTTGTCCGGTTGTCGTGAGAGCAAGCGAGTGGACGAAAGAACGACTCGGGCATTAGTCCTCTGAAGAGTGTGCTTGTCATCGATTTTGGCCGTAGAACGTGCCACGCTTGAGAGACCTTTGATGTACACAGCAATGATCGATCAACTTCAGTTTGCATTATTCTGGGTTCAGATAGCTGTTAGTTTATTTAACAAAGTGGACATCCCCCTTTGCTGATTGTTGGCTTGTGATTCTGATGTCTAGGTATATAAAGGGATAATGAATCAACTTGGCCTTGCTGTTCGGGAAGATGCTGTTGGTAACATATTTGGCCGCTGGTGAGTTGGTCTTTGACAGCCTTTGGATTTTCTGCTCTTGGTTCATTTCTCTGGGTTTAGGAAGCATGCAAGGATTCTGCTGTAATAGTACATCTGGCTGAAAAGTCTCTGGATTTTGTTAAATTTGCTATGTGCTGGAATTATCATGCCCATTGAACATTACAACCTTCTACAGGGAGGGTTCTGAGCCTGGACTAGGGGCTGTTGCAACTGGATCTCATGTTGATGCCATTCCATTCTCAGGCAAATTTGACGGTGTTGTTGGAGTTCTGGGTGCTCTTGAGGCGATTAGTTTGCTGAAAAGGTTACAGTTCTGTCTGCCTATAAGTGTCTTCACCATTCCTGCAGCACCAAGGATGATCCTTTGTATTGCATTCTTTTACTGTTGTAGTGTTGTCCATATGTAACGTGGCTGTTTTTTCCCCTCTCTTTTTCTGGCTTGAGTGTTTGTTGACCATCTTACATCTTATATACAGTCATGTTTCTAGGGCTGATGTGATTGGAATCAGATGAACCGTGCTTAATCAGCTAGTATAGGGTTGTTAATTTGGTGAAATTACAGAGCTGCTTATTGACTAGTTCTTTCTTGTAACCGTCTAGTAGACAACTGAAGACCCACTTCTGCTCGTTGTGGGATGCAACCAAGTATTGGGAAGCATACATTTGATACTTACGAAATGGCAAAAGAAAAGCTGTGTGCTTCATCTCATTCTCACGTACATTAGACATGTGCTTTAGACTTGAAATACTTAGTTCAAAGCATAATCAGGAACCGGTGAGCTACCTTGCTGTTGAACATTGGCATCGTTACACCACTCTGAATTTTAACAAAAGAGTTGACCAATGTCAGGGTATGTAAATATTAGACAATGTACTGATTTACTTTGGATCCTTGTAGAGACTCAGTACATTGTTACCAGATCAATAGAACCGGCCGAGCTTTTGCTGTTTGATAAAAAAAGGTTGACCTATCTGTACTATTCACTTGGCACAACCTTACATGTTTTGCCTATGTTGTCACACATTTTGAGGTCATAATACGGGCTATATAAATATTGGACTTAACTTTGTTTTTCATCTTGAGACAAACCTTACCTGTTTGGCCTGCATGTGTCATACAGGTCTGCTTTCCTGCCAAAAAGGTCTTTGGAGGTTATCATGTTTACATCAGAGGAGCCTACACGATTTGGAATTAGCTGTTTGGGAAGGTGGACCATTAAGCAATAAGATTAGTTCCGCTTGAGCTAATGGCTGCATTGCTCTAATTTGTGGCTTCTCATCTTTTGATCCTTTGAAAATATGCAGCCGCTTAATGGCAGGGATTGAAGAACTAGCTCAATCCCTCAGAAAAGTAGTTGACAATCAGAATGTGTCATTTTTGGATGCTGCAGAAGCTGCTGGCTATAAGTTGCATCTAGAGGACCTGCATAGTGTATTTCTAAAGAAAGACACCTACTCTGCTTTTATAGAACTGCACATTGAGCAGGGTCCCATCTTAGAAAAGGAAGGTAGGTTCCCAGTAAATTAACATGTTTGCAGTTTCAAATTGATGGTATACAAGTCTTCTCTTACAATAGGTATCCCTATTGGCATTGTTACTGCTATTGCTGCTCCTGCAAGTCTTAAGGTGGACTTTGAAGGGAATGGGGGTCATGCTGGAGCAGTGCTTATGCCTGCAAGGTTAGCATGTTCATTCATTTTATTGTGATTTACATTCTTGTGAAGGATCTCCCCATATATGTATGTAAAAGGAGTGTTCTACAGAAACGATGCTGGACTGGCAGCAGCTGAATTAGCATTAGCAGTCGAGAAACACGTCCTGGAATCAGGATCAATTGATACTGTTGGCACCGTTGGTATGTTTTATAAACCATATTTAGCTTTTTACATCAAATCTATCATTCCATTATGCTTGTGACATCATAATATAATGTCGTACAGTCGGACCAAATATATATTCCTCAGCACATTGTTTTCCACATGAAGTATGTGGTTTTCCCGCTGCAATTTAATCTGTGCCTATCTTGTTGGATTATATCTTCTCTCCATGCCAAAGAAAACATATCATATTTAGCCAAGTCAATAGGCATGCAACTTAGGTATTCTGTTCTTTAGCTAGTGAAGAGTCTGTTAAGCATGATTTTCTAAATCCTAACGTTTTATTTTATCCCATTTCTAGGCCAGATACTCAATTAGACAACTTGAGTCCTATTTTAAATTAAATATATATTTATGGAGATAGTTACTAACCAACATCCGAAGATGGATTCTTTCAAAAAGGAAAAGTTGAACATTTGAAAGCTTACTGTCAAGACATGGTTACCTCGGATTAATTTGACTAAACTATTCTTCTTCAGGTATTCTGCAGTTACATCCAGGAGCAATCAATAGCATCCCAAGCAAATCACACCTAGAAATTGGTATGAGCCTACTTCCTTTCAAATAAAATATGATTGTTCTCAGGAAAATATGATGATTTACCAACTAATAAAGTCATGGTATCCTTGATGCAGATGTAAGAGATATTGATGAGAACAGAAGGAATGATGTCATTGAGAAGATTCGCTGGTCTGCAACACAGATTTCAAAGAACCGTGGAGTAGAGCTTTCAGAATTTAAGATAATCAACCAGGACCCACCGGCTCTATCTGACAAATCAGTCGTTGACGCAATGGAATTTGCTGCAAAACAGTTGACCCTGGAGTACAAAAACATGATTAGCAGAGCCTACCACGATTCACTCTTCATGGCCAGGTGAATTACTGGCCCCAGCTCATCTTTCCCATTGCTGAATTGTTCTTGTTTTTTTTTTCAAACTGGAACATTATCCTGTTTTATTCCTTTAGAAAAAAGAACCGTCAGTTTCTGCATTGAAATCTCTGTATGTACTACAGTACTAGATGTTTTAGGTCCCCATGTTAGCATAACAAAATGGGAAAAATAGATAGTGATTTTTTTCATCAGGAAAGAAAGATAAATGTTTATAAGATGAACTACCTCGGAATGTGCCAGTGCTCCATTTTCTGATTCTATTAACCCCTCAACTGTCCAACCGATACAGGGCCACCATCATTTCCAACAGAATTCCAGTCACAAACTGTTGAAAGCTGTGGCTTCGCAGGAAATAGAATTAGAGTAGCCCTTTTATACATAACAAATTAAGTGACGATATGGAACTGAACAATCACATAAGATTCAGAATACTAGATTATGATTCCATAACACTCATGCAGAAAGTAAACACTTGGCATACTTGTCTAAACTATCTATCGCACTATTCTGGCTATTCCTTCTGGAATTTGTTTTGTAATTTCAACTTTATATCTCACTGGTAAAAGTTTATATCAGTTCAGGATAGCTTGAACCTATGTTTCTTGCAATTGTTTCCTTTTTCTGTTTGAGAACAATCATGCAATTGTCCTAGCGACTACCTTATTCAAGTAAAATATCATGAATTCCTTCTCATCCCATCCCATGTCACAACGGAATGGATTACAGAAAAATTTCATCCAAAAATTATTAATACGATGATGAGCTAAGGAATAAAGGATAGTGACCCATATTGCAATGCTAGAACTGTTATGTGGGGCCGCCATTATCAACGCAGACCTCGAGCACGAGGTGCAACCAGTGCGGCCCCCAAGAGCATGATTGACCAGGAGGAACCCAAGGAGGTCTAGGCGCCCAAGGGGCCTTAGTTATTAAGATCAATTAAGAGAGTTGTGTGGGGGATCAAGGAGTAGTAGCTGGCTGATAGTTATTAGCTGGCACCAGGAACTAGGAGCTGGGCGCCAGCAGTCCTATATATATGTAATCCCTGCTTTCAGTTGAGAAAAAGGAATGAAGTGATTTATCCCTAATCTCATCTCCCTGCTATCTCTAATCTCACCTCCCTGCTGTGGGCGCCAGCCATATCCTGGCGCCCCCATCTCCTACCTCCAACTATAATCTGCGCAGCCAGGGGCCTCCATTGTTAGGAGTTGAGGCCCTTGACAACCTGGTATCAGATTCCAGGCGTTCTTCATCCTCTGCTGCGCCCCCACCACCCCCTCCAGCCACCACCACGCCTCCCACCACACCCACCCAATCCACAGCCTCTTCTTCACCACCCATGGCTGAACCATCCAACACCGACATCGCCAAGATGATGAGTGAACTCACCAAGAGCATGGCGACCATGCAGCAGCAGATTCTCGCGCTGCAGCAGGCTCAGCCACCTCCATCGACCTCCCAATCAGGAACCCGAGGTTTTGGCTTTGGCGAGCACACGGGTGGACCGCCGCCCAGTTCGTGGTTGATTTCCCAAGTTCGACGGCAAACCGACCCTACTGGCCTTCATCAACGGTGCGAGTCCCATTCGTTCAACGGCGCAAGACGCCGCCGAGGAGCAGTGTCCGGATGGCCTCCTACAACCTCGGCGCGGCTTGCAGATGTGGTACATTCAAAGTGCAAGAACCGAGGGCACTCCATCATGGAGGCGCTTCACCGAGCTCCTCAATCTCCGCCGGTCCACCCTTCGATCCAACCCCATGGGCGAACTCATGGTTCTGCAGCGACGGGGACCGTGGCGGAGTACCAGATCGGTTCGAGCCCCTGCTACCTCGTCGGGCCCCCGAGGAGAAATCTGCAGCAGATCCAGCCTTTTTTACGGCGGGGCTCGG